TACAGGCGCACACCACCACACCTGGCTAATTTTTTTGTATTTTTAGTAGAGACAGGGTTTCACCATGTTGGCCAGGTTGGTCTTGAACTCCTGACCTCACGTGATCCGCCCACATCGGCCTCTCAAAGTGCTGGAATTACAGGCATGAGCCACTGCGCCCAGCCTCCAGCTGCCTTTCAGAAGGATGTTTGCCATTGGATTTAGGTCCTACCTGGATAATCCGAGATGGTCTCTGCATCTCAAGATGTTTAACTTCCATCCGCAAAGTCCCTTTTTCCAAATAAGGTGACATTTGCAGGCTCTGGTGGACATATCTGCTTAGGAGCCACCATTCAGTCCATGATAGGACTACCTGACATCACAGGTTTGATGGGGTGAAAAATCAGTGTTTTCATGGGTCGCGACCTGCTGGGGGGTAGAGCAGCCTCCACGCACAGAGTTCTGGCTGATCTAGAGCTAGAAGGAAGGCAGCCATCAGCCTGCGTGCAAGAGGCCAGGAAACCCAGGGCAGGGGAGGGCAGGCTCCTCCGGAGCAGGCCTTGAACTTGGGGCTGTCTAGCTGAATCAGGAGTGTCACTGGGCCCACCTCCGGGGGCAGCTGGTCAGGACCTATTTCCAGGACCCTGGCTGCCTCCTGGAAAAGCTCAGAAGCCCAGGAGTCTAGGACAGAAGAATGCGCTGTGGGAAAGATATTCGTGTCTCCAGCCAGTGACTTCAAAGGAAGCAGACAGGCTGATTCTTTTATCCAGAGGAACGTCTTTCACTGAAGACGTGTTCAAGGCCAGCGGGCGGGCCTGGGGCAGTGGCTTCTGGTTAGAGAGATCTCCGGCAGTGCTGGGGAAGGGGAGGGGACTCTGTCCGCTCACAATGGGCCCCAAACCTGCTTCACAGATGAGAAGATTGAGACTAAGAGCTAATGTCGGTCCATGGTGAGCTGAAGCTGTGACCCAGGACTTGGAGTGGGCCGCAGGGTTGCAGCTTTTTCTCATTTTTGAAGGGGGCGCCGGGATTGGGACTCCGGCTCAGCCTGTCGTGCAGACAGCGGCCAGACCGCGTGAGAGGCGGGTGGGAGGGGACAGGAGCCGGGAGGGCAGGGGGCTGGGACCGGCGCCACCTCACCCTGCTAATTGGGAAGAGGAGACTGTCGTAAGGTTGCCAGCGACGATGAGGGGAAGCGGCCACTCTGTAGCAGATTTTATGAGGTTCGCAGTCCCAGGAACAGAGGCCCTCTCTGGGGAGGAGGGAAGGGAGGACTGCCAGCCACGGCGACAGGGAGTGGCGGGGCTGTGCTGGGTGCCTGAGAGCCTGAGCTAAGTCCATGTGCATGGTCCGCAGGGGGACAGGCAGGAGCCAGCCACAAACCTGTCCCAGCAGTGAGGTCTCTTCAAAGACGAGGGGAATTTTCAACTAATCAGTGAAACCTGGGAGACTGTGGCCTCAGAGGCAAACCCCACATGGGTGCCCCACAAGATGCTCTGGTCACTCAACCCTCACCAGCCTGGAGGTACCCTTCAACCCCTGCTGGCTTGGTCAGGCTATAAGGGCCTGGAGTGTCCCCGCTGCACCTTGGGCTGAGCCTCTCTGCTGGGCACATCAGCTCCCTGCCACCCTGCCCAGAGGCAGTCCATGGCTCTGTCCTCTAGGAGCTCCCAGGCCAGTGAGGCCAGTGTGTGCCAGGCTTTTTCACTCTGGGCCAGTTTCAGAGATGCCTGGAGACTCAGATACTGCCCAGTCCCAGTCCCAGGTAGTTTCTAGTCTGATGGGGGAGGCACAGATGGCCTTGATCTTGTCTGATGGGGGAGGAACAGACAGCTCTGACCCAGTCTAATGGGGGAGGAACAGATGAGGCTCTGATCATCTGATGGGGGAAGCACAGACATCCCTGACCCAGTCTGGTGGGAGAGGTACAGATGGCCCTGACCCAGTCTGATGGGAAAGGCACAGATGGCCTTGATCTTGTCTGATGGGAGGGAGAGGCACAGATGGCCCTGACCAAGTCTAATGGGAGAGGAACAGATGAGGCCCTGATCTAATCTGAGGGGGAAGGCACAGATGGCCCTGATGCAGTCTGATGGGGGGAGGCACAGATGGCCCTGACCCAGTCTGATAGAGGAGGCACAGATGGCCCTGACCCAGTCTGATGGGGGAGGCACAGATGGCCCTGACCCAGTCTAATGGGGGAGGCACAGACGATCCTGACCTAGCGTGATGCTGGAGGCACATCAGACCCAGTCTAATGGGGGAGGCATATGACCCTGCTGGACCCAATCTGACTGGCAGGAGCACAGGGTGGCAGAAGGAGCAGGGGACTCTGGAGTCCACAGAGGTGGGTTTAAATCCTCCCTTCTCTTATTAGTGGGCCCTCAGGCAAGTACTAAAACCTCTCCAAGCCTGTTTTCTCTATGATGAACTAAGACATCCACATATACTCCATCGGTGCTCTCAGAGCTCCAGCGGGTAAAATCTTAAAGCCGCAGGCCTGGAGCTGCAGATGTGTTTGCAGCCCTGGTCGATCCATGTTGGTCAGAGCCTTACCGTGAATGATATGTTACCTTAGCTGCTCCTGTGAGGTGGGTGGCAAGAACCGTCCCTGTCCCTATTTCACCAATGACTTGGGTGAGCACTAAAGAAAGGAAGGGGGCAACCCCGAGTCCACAGTGAACAAGGGGGACATGGTGACAGAGGGGAAGGGCACCAGGTGAAGGTGGCCAGGTCACCTGCTGTCCTTCATGCAGCCTGTTCCTCTCTCTGGACTTCAGTTTCTCATGGGTGTAACACATTCCTCTCTCTGAAACTTCAGTTTCCCAGGGGCTGCACGTTCAATGCTATTATGGGTATCAGATTTGCGTCTTCGCATGGCATCTCTCCCCAAGGCTGTGCTGTGAACGAGATAAAAGCAGAATATCTCTGGCTGCCCTTCTGCCTCCCCAAATCCCCACCCTTGGCCCGCTGGCCCACCTGCCCCACCTCTGGCCGGGCCAGTCTCACAGACCCCTCCAATGCCACTGCCCAAGCCCCAGCCTTTTGGCACCCATGTACAGAACTCTTTTTCCTCTGCCCACGGCCCCTTGGGCACAGCTTGGGTAACGCATGAGCCCCAGAGTCATGCCCCCAACTCAGACCACTGGTCACACAGCAGCCTCAGCTGTGAGACCTTGGACAAGTCGCTTAACTTCTCTGGGTCTCAGCTTGTTCATCTGTAAAATAGGGAAGGGTTAAACACAAAGTAAACGCTCAGGGTCTCCATGTACAGTTGCACAGGTTGTTCACAAAAATATATACGCAGGACCCTTGTCTACGGTTACAATGACTTGTCTCCCTCTTTGCTTTTGATTCAAGTGAGCTCCGCCCTCTCTGTGCAGTGGAAGCTGGGGAAGAAGTTCCCCGGAGCTGTGCCTCTGTGCAGGGCCAAGAGACTTGCCCCCAGCGCCAGCCCCTGCCCAGTTGGGTGCCTGTCTCTGTGGAGCCCTCTCCACCTGCCTCTCTCCCTGCCCTGTGTGTGCTGCTTATAGGCACGGACCCAGAGGAGACCATTCTCCACGCCTTCAAAGTGTTCGACACTGAAGGGAAAGGCTTCGTCAAGGCCGATGTGTAAGCTTCCCCTGACTTCCTTCGGTTTTTGCTCCCTGCAGAGGCTCAGGGGGTAAGCCAGCTCTGGGCTGGGGTCAGGGTGGGTGGCCACCCCGTCTCCTCTCCCAGAACCCAGGAGCTGGGAGGCCGCTGCCTGACCCAGTAATATCGCTTGATGTCCCTTGCCCTCCAGAGCCTTGGTGTCCCCATCTCTATGTGTGCGTGCAAGTAGAAATGGGTAAGGAATGGGTCAGGCCGGGCTCAGTGGCTCACGCCTGCAATCCCAGCACTTTGGGAAACCGAGGCAGGCAAATCACTTGAGACCAGGAGTTTGAGACCAGCCTGGCCAACATAGCAAAACCCTGTCTTTACTGGGAAAAAAAAAAAAAAAAAAAAAACAAGAAAAAGGGGGGCCAGCCCGGGCAGTGGCTGCCCTGGGGGGTGAGCACTGTCAGCCCCTCAGCCTCAAGGCCACCCCTGCTAGGCCCCCTCTCTTGCTAGGCTTAGGGTCAGGCCCTGGCTTCCCATTGACTCCTAGGCTAAACTTGCACAGATTTATCTGCTTTCTGTCCTCAGTTTTTTGATCTGTAAAATGGGCTTATAATAGTTTCCTGAACCCACTGTAACAAATTCTCCGAAACCAGGTGTCTCGAAACAGCAGACACGTATTCACTCACAGTCCTGGAGTCTAAACGTCCAAAACCTGGCAGAGGATTGGGGTAGAATCCATTTTTTGCCTCTTCCAGCCCCTGGGGGGCACACCTCTCCCACTGCAGCCTCGTAGTCAGCGGCCCCGTCCTCTTCTGTCTAACCTCTCTCCACCTGCCTCTTCATTTTGTTTTGTTTTTGAGACAGTGTCTCACTCTATTGCCCAGGCTGGAGTGCAGTGGCTTGATCTCAGCTCACGGCAACCTCCGCCTCCCAGGTTCAAGCGATTCTTGTGCCTCAGCCTCCTGAGAAGCTGGGATTACAGGCGCACACCACCACACCTGGCTAATTTTTTTGTATTTTTAGTAGAGACAGGGTTTCACCATGTTGGCCAGGTTGGTCTTGAACTCCTGACNAAAATACCGGACCAGGTGGCGGGCGCCTGTAATCCCAGCTACTCTGGTGGCCAAGGCAGGAGAATCACTCGAGCCTGGGAGGTGGAGGTTGCAGTGAGCCAAGACCATACCGTTGCACTCCAGCCTGGGCGACAGAGGGAAATTCTGTCTCCAAAAAAAAAGAAGTGTTGGGTCACTCTGAGAGAGTTTCCTAGTGGGGTGGGTGTGGGGGCAAAGGCAGGCCTTGAAGGATGACCATGGTTTGCCCAGGCTAGGGCGGGAACAGCATTCTAGATGTGGGAATGGAGAGATCAGAGGGCCCGAGCTTGGCATGTGCATGTTGGTTCGGAGCTGGCTGCAGCTGGAGGGTGCGGGTGGGGGTGGGTGGGGGAGACTCAGCACGGAGTGCCAGGCAGGGCTTGCGTGGGACCTGCTCACACCCCAGCCCCTGGACCCTGCGTCTGCCCTGGGATCATGGGAGAGCCCAAGAAGGAGTTAGGCAAGGACACCATGGAGGCCAGCCTGGAGGAGGAGAGGAGAGGGTTGCAGCTCCCAGGAGGGTCATGGCTGTCAAGACGGAGTGGGGTGGACAGATAAGCAAAAAGCCAGAGGCCAGCGCCGGTAGGATCCGGGTTCTGAGGAGAGGACTGAGCCAGATCATAGCCAGCACCGCCTCGGGCAAGAGGGCAGTGAGGACTGGGGAAGGTGACCAGCTCCCTTGGAATGCATGAAGGGGACGTGGCTGCAGACAGCTGTCCGGCAGGCACCAGGCTGCCATCGTGACGGAAGGAGTGCCCCACTCAGTGACAACACAGGAGCAGAGAGCCAAGGATTGCAGGCAGGGCTGGGCGGGGAGTGGCAGCCTGCCCAGAACCCTGGCTTCAGGGCAGATCTCTGAGCTGGGCCCAGGCAGTCCCTTCAGAACCTCGCTGGACCTGGGGGTGGCCTGGGGCAGGTGAGATTCCTCCCCCCGCCCGGGCTTCCTGATCAGTTACTGTGATGCTGTGGCCCTGAGATTCTCACATATGGAGGTGGAGGGGAGAGGGCAGACGGGGCAGGGGTGGGGGTGGAGAGGGTCTGTCCGTCTCACACTTTCTCACCTCCAAAACCATGAGTCACATACTCCCCTGGGGTGGAGGGGACGCAGAGGGCTGCTCCAAGCCACGGTCCTCTCCTCCTCCCCTCCCTCGGGGTCTGCGACTCCTGCCTCCTTTCTGGCGCCCCTGGAGTGACCCCGAACCTTCCCTCCCCTGTCAACCACCTTCACTCTCACCGGTGCAAGGACAAGCCTGGGAAGGGCCCTTTGGGGACCCAATTTGGGAACTGAAGGCACTGCCTTGGGACGGACTGTGGCTGTGGGCCAGACAGGCCACGGCGGAGGCTGTGGTTCAAACAGTCTGTGAAAAGTCCCCAGCTTGGGGAGCTGGAAACTGTGACTGTCCCACAGAAACATAAATAATGGAAAATGTGCACTGGTCCTCAGCGAGGCCCGCCACAGCCGGTGCCAGAGGACGCTCTGGGTGGAGGAGGCCTTGCTCAGCCGTCAGGTCCCATTCCTGCCCACTGAGCCCCCTCAGGAATGCTGCAGGGCCCTCCAAGTTTGAGGGAACACCAGTCCCTTGCAGGCTCAAGAGGACACGGACGTGGGCAGGCCTTCCTGTGTCCTTAGCCAAGCAGGAGTATCTTGTCGTCTCTACAATACTGGACGTCAGTGATCATCACAAGCTGGAGAAAACAGTGTGTCCAGAGTAGGGGAGAAGAGGGTCTGGGCGGAGGACCTGAGCTGTCTCCCCTCAATGATGCAGAGCTTGGTGATAGTGCATGATGGGAAATCAGAGTAGCCCTCATGTTGGGGTCCCCAGGTCGTTCCATTTGGTCCCCACCTGATGCTGGGAGGAGAACCCACTTCACAGAGGAGGAAACTGAAGTTCAAAGTGGTCCCCAGGTCATTCCATCTGGTCCCCACTCGATGCTGGGAGGAAAGCCCATTTCACAAGGAGGAAACTGAGGTTCAGAGTGGCCCCTATGTTGGGGTCCCCAGGTCATTCCTTTTGGTCCTTACTTGATGCTGGCAGGAAAGCCCGCTTCATGGAGGAGAAAACTGAAGTTCAAAGGCTACTTGGCCATCAGAGGGGCCGACAAGACCAGCCCCAGGGTGAAGTCCTCCTGGGCCAGGACACTCCCCGCCCCCGGTTGCCCCTCATCACCCCTGGGGTCTACATGTCCAGGCTGGGTATCCCTTACCCTGAACATGACTGTGTCTCTCCCTTGTACAGCATCAAAGAAAAACTTATGACCCAGGCAGACCGCTTCAGTGAGGAAGAGGTAAATTTGGGCTTTGGGTGGGAACAGCAGATTCCCCGCTCTGGCTCCCACCTGGCCTGCTGCAGGCTGACTCTCTGCTCCTTCCCAGATCAAGCAGATGTTTGCGGCGTTCCCCCCAGATGTGTGTGGTAACCTGGACTACAGGAACCTGTGTTACATCATCACCCACGGGGAAGAGAAGGACTAGGGGATGGCAGGTCTCCCCGACATTCAGGGGCAGCAAACACTGTCGGGGGAGGGGTGACACGGAGCGCTTGCAGCCAGAGGGTGGGGGGGGGGAAGGGTTCCCTTGTCCTATGATTGGGGACAAAGCAAGAATAAATAATGCTAATGAGGTCTGCCTTTGTGCGGTAAATGTTCCAGTGACGGAGAGAACGAAACATTCCTGTCTTGTTGGTTTTTCCAAAACTTTTTTGTTTCCCTGGCTCTGCTCAAATGTTCCTGAGAAGCTAGTGATTAGAGCTAATTGACAGTTTTAAGATCCCCAGCTAAGCCACAGGATATTGCCTTCATTTATGGAGCTTTTATTAAGCACCTAGTGCGTGCCAGAGACTGTGCTGGTCCCAGGGACTCGCAGAAGAGCCAAGACTGTCCCTGGGCAGGAAGATCGAGCTGATGGCGGTGAGGAAGGCGGAGGACGGGGCAAAATGTGGGGTGGGGACATCGGTGGGAGGAGAATGGGGAAGCACGGGAGAAAACTGGCTGCAAAGAGCTGGCTGGAGGCGAAGACGTCAGAAGGGAAGAGGTGGCTCCAAGGGATGTTTAGGGGGCAGGCGGGGGCTTCTTAAACAGAACACGCGTAGCTCTGACCATAAAAGTGGGTAAATTGGACTTCATCAAAATGAAAAACTTCTGCTCACCAAAAGATGCAATTAAGAATGCAAAAAGGCGCTGGACGAGAAAAGATGCCAGCAGCACGGACGTGACAAGAATCTCATCTCCAGAGGATATTTTTAAAAATCCCAAAAAAGGTAGATGACAAGCATAAAATCCAAATGGCCATAAAGATCTGAAAAGAGAGGCCGGGAGAGGTGGCTCACGCCTGTAATCCCAGCA